TTTTAATGTTACTTTGTCTTTTAACAGTTGACTTTCTAAAGCCAGTGTTGGCTCAGACAGTGGTCAGATAAAGCTGCTGTTTACAGCAGATACTAAAATGTAAACAGCAATAATAGATTTTTAAAATGTATTTTTGACATAAGTTATTTGTTATAAATGTTGACAGTTTGATGGAGCGTTACGAGTCTCTGGGTCTGGTCGGGGAGGGCAGTTACGGTACCGTGCTGAAGTGCCGCCACCGAGACTCCGGTCGCCTCGTCGCCATCAAGAAGTTCATGGACTCGGACGATGACAAGACGGTGAAGAAGATCGCCGTGAGGGAGATCAAGCTGCTGAGGGTACCTGTCAATCAATCTATCAACCAATCAATCAATGAGTCACTGAGCGTGAGCCGTCTGGATGAGCTAGAAACCTGAGTGAACATGAACACAAAAGCAGCCTGTCAATCAAAACCCAGAACAACACAGAGTCAGATTCTTATAATTAAAACTTGACATGAGAGGAAACTTTGGAAGAACAGAAATTCTCAGCTGAGAGCAAAACATTATGAAACAATACAAGCTAAAGAATTTGTAAGACATTGCTGAAGGTTTCTTGTGCTTATTACAATAATCTCAGTCTTTAATATGTATAAATTAAGATATTTAAAATGTAAAATAAATACAGATAAGTAAAAAAAAAAACCCTAGTTTGTAGTTACGATAGATCATTTTATAAATAAATCAAAACAATGAAATAAAACAATAAAAATGTAAAAATAAAATTCAGTTTTGTAAACAATTACAAGTAGAGGTTTGGAGGTTTAAGATTTCTAAAAAGTCCAAAAGGTGTATTGATTTTAAGGATGTATTCAAATTCACAAACACTTATTTTTCTGCTCTCATCTTTTCAACCATCAAGCAACTGCGTCATGACAACCTGGTGAACCTTCTAGAAGTGTGGAAGCGTCGCCGCCGCTGGTATCTGGTGTTCGAGTTCGTGGAGCGAACGCTTCTGGATGATTTGGAGCAAAACCCGAGCGGACTGGACCTGAACACCAGCCGGCAGTACCTGTACCAGATCCTGAGGGCTGCAGCCTTCTGCCACCAGCAAAATGTAAGCCCTGTGTGTTTGTGTGGAAGTACGGACACTGAGGACATCCGACATGGCTACCAGAGGAGGAACATAACATGGCTTCTGAATTTTTATCCCCTCTTTCCTTTCAAGATCATCCACCGTGACATCAAACCAGAGAACATACTCATCTCTCAGGGAGGTGTTGTTAAGCTGTGCGACTTTGGCTTTGCCCGGACCATGACGTTGCCCGCTGAGGGGGCGGTCTATACTGACTACGTGGCCACTCGCTGGTACAGAGCTCCTGAACTGCTGGTGGGAGACACCAAGTATGGCAAGTAAGTCTTAGCGTGAACACCTGAGGATGTGTTAGTGTAGATTGTCTGTTGATATAAATGTTAACAGGTTATTTATGTGTGTCTCTGTGTGTTTAGACCAGTAGATGTGTGGGCTGTTGGTTGTCTGTTAATAGAGATGTTAACAGGTCAGCCTCTGTTTCCCGGAGACTCCGACCTCGATCAAATTTACCACATCGTCACGTGCTTCGGTAAGCACTCAGGCAAAAACATTTGTAAGATAACAATTACTTTAAACCCTCTCAATATAATTATACTCTCTAAGTTCTCCCTTTTTTCTATAATAGGTAACCTAACAGCTCATCACCAGGAGTTGTTCTACAGGAATCCCGTCTTTTCTGGAGTCAGACTGCCTGAATGTTCTGGCAGAGTCCCACTGGACCAGCGCTTCCCTACAATCACAACCACTGCCCTGAACCTGGCACAGGTACAGTTAAATGATACAATACAAATATTTCTATAAACATACAGACATGTGGCAAAGGCTTCCATCCAAAGTTTCTTTAAGGAATAAAATGACTGAGACTTGAACAGGATGGGATTTTTTTAGCTATTCCTGTTCCATTACCTTTTGTTGCCAAACATATTTTCATCAGTCCCTCTGATAGTGTGGTTTTCTGTCCATATTATCTTCTTAATATTCAACAACTACAGTTCCTATTAGGGTCTGACATTGCCTCTTTGTCAAACACCTGTGGTGTTGTAGTAGAGGCTTTGGATAAAACATTATGTTAATGTTGCAGAAAAATTCATGCCTGTACAGCTTACCGGACACATCCTATTAATATGATGAACCTGTTCCTGTTCTGGAGAGTTGAGGCTGAAACTGTGGCAATAGGACAGTAGCATATCCTGAACAGTTGTCGTCAGTGTGTGGGTTTACAGTAAGAAAACACTAGGTACGGGTGTTATGGTGTGTGTCCTATGCCACTCAACTTAGGCTTTCTATAGTCAAACACTGATTCCTAAAACACCACCAAGTCACACATTAAATTAAGTAAAACCACCTACTGAGCGCTGAATGTCTTGGGGATATATTGACTTTGAGAAATTGGGAATCTTTAACATCAGCTACTAAAGGATCTGCAGCTTGCATCTTCGCACTTATCTTGGCATTTTAATTTCTTCTTCTTAGTATTTTTATTCACTTTGAGATCCTAAGTTAAACATACCAGAAGCTGTTATACCTTTGTGTCTTTCAGAGTTGTCTCCAGATGGATCCAGAAAGACGTGCTCAGTGTTCAGAACTGTTAGAACATCCTCTGTTCACGCAAGATTCCTTCCACATCAGGTATCTCTGTGTGTTCACAGTTTAACAGTTTTACATTTACTCTGTAATGTGTGGTTTATTTATACAACTATGCTACAGATGTATCCTCAAGAGCTTATTGTATCTACAACCATGTTGACTTTGACCATGGCTTTTATCTACATGAACTTGTCTTCAAGTTCTGCCCTTGGAGTAGGCAAAAACTTAATATGTGTGTTAGCCAGACTTTGCAGTAGTAGAGCATTAGTGATGCTAGGAATCTAACTATAAACCTTTTCAATATTGATTCAATATTGATATTCAAAATCAAGTTACTAACTTGCTGCACCTACGTATCTATGTTTCTAAACAGAGTTTTGGACGAGCTGAATGCTAAGATCCAAAAAGATCATAGAGAAAACTCTACCCTTCCCAAAATAGCCAAAACCCAAAGACGAGAAAAGGATGAAGGGGATGACCGCAGAGGCAAAGACAAGAAACAATCTGAAGACATGGATCAGAAAGTTGACAAGGAAAAGGAGAAGAGGGACAAGGAGGGCAGAGAATCAAATACACCGAAAACAAAAGGCAAGCAGCCAACAAAGCCGCCTAAAACCGTTCGGAATATTTCAGAACCTTTGGTGTCCACCAAACAGTCCAAAACATCAGGCACCAAGACTGCCGATAATGCAGCAAAAACGACTGTGGCCATAAGAAGTAAACTGGCAAAAACTACTGGTGTGGAGCTGAGAAAGGAACCTGAAAAAACAACTATAACCCTTACTTCCAATTCTTTGGAGGCTTCCAAGATTCCAAGCAAAATTGAGGTTGCTACCCAAACTATTCCTTCTGTCGCCAAGCCATGTAAGACAACTACTACTTCAAAGCATCCGACCAACCGCTCAAACATGGACACCGAGCAAAGAAGGACCTCTGACAGTCCAAAAGTCTTACCCTCAAATCCCAAGCCATTTAAGACTACCTCAAACTCTGGCCCAAAAATCAACAAAAACATCACCTCTTTGACCACCAGCTCGTCAAAGATTCTTACCTCAGATCTTTCAGCGCAGTCCTCCACAGTTTTCATAGAGGCCAGTCCTACCCACAGCACTACAATACCACCTAAAGGAACCCTCCAAACTGACTCATCTTCAGATACTAAACCCACAAATGACACCACCTGTGTACCCAATCAATCTTCCAGGTGCCTTACAACAGACAGAGGACTTACAGAAGTATTGATTGCAAACAAAAATCAGCAGGGTGATTTTAATGCTTCAAAAAAGGACATAAAGGAGGCTCACGGATACTTGAAGAAGAGCCCAGTGACCAAAACCGCTGAGATATCCAGTGCTTCAGGTGGATATTATGAGGAGAATCTTGGATCTTCTGAGCCCTGCAGCATCAATGAGCAGAGTACTTCCAAGTCCAAGATCACCACAGAATCCAGATCCCCCTCAACCTCCATGCCGAGTGAAATCCCTAAAACCAACACATCAGTAGGGACTGTCCCGAAAACACTGAACGCCTCAGATAAAGAGAACAGAGAGGATTTGGCATTTTCTGTATCCAACAATGCAATGACCAATTCTTTGGTACATCAAATCTCAAAGGTTTCTAGAAGCTCAAATAGTGAGCGAAAGAACAGCAGCAGTGAAGCTGAACCTAACATGAAATCCTTGAAACCACCTCACTCCAAATCTTTGATCGGAGAACCTAAAACAAAGCTTGGGTCTTTTAGCAACCACACCAAGTCCAGCGCAGCAATGACTCAGAAAACTTCTACAGAGGCAAGGAAGAAAAGAGACAACCCAGAAAGGAATATCACATCAAATATATCCACATCTGCAGATTCAACTTCATTCACTTCTACAGATAATTCAGAGCACAAAGCTATGTCAAGAAGCTCTGTATATTACAACATGGACACTGCATACGTTAATGAGCTGGATTTCAGTTTACCCCATTCCTCTCCACCTCCTCCTCCTCCTCCACCCTCGTCTACTCCACTACTCCTCCCTCCATCTTCCACACCCCTTATTCCCTCTTTCTCTGTCATCAGTACCAACAGCCCAGCCCCTAGCGATCACCTTACCCTTGGTGCTGGTTTCCATCCTGGGGCCCACAGCCTTTGGTAAGTTCTCGCAATGCAGTACCAATCTGAAACAAGTGTAAACCTATCCTGATGTTACCCACTGGTTTGTGGAGAACTGTTTTGAAGTATGCCGTATTTTCTGAAAATATTTTATGTGAGAAATAAGCAATGGAACAGAATCTGGATCCATATCTGATCAGGACTGCCTAGTTTGACAGTTTGATCTGAATTTGGTGCATTGAGCTGAACGGACTCACTGTCAATCACAAGGTAGCCCAACCCTAAAGCATACCCTGCATTATGGTCTATTCTACTCTAAATGGGACCATCATTTGCTTGAAACTAGCTAGATTGAGACCATAAATTCATTAGGAAACTGTTAATAGAGTTAATAAATTAAGTCAGAAGGGTCATTTCTCCATAGGACTCAATACTATCAGCTTCTTTGTGTGTCCAATGGAGCTGCCCTCTGCTGGCCATTACCTAGAATGCCTGTTTACAATACTTCTGCGTTGGTTTAGGTATAGCCTGAGTTTTAGGCCCAAAATTAAAAGTGTGTTTCCCAAAATCATTGCAAACTGCGCTGGAATCCTCTAACCTGGGTGACTGCTGTTGTTTGTCTGTGTATCACAGGTGTTTAGACAAACCAAGGCATCACGGTGGCATTTACAGTCGACAGGCCCAACAATCTCTGTCCAGCCACATTACAGGATCACTCACAGCACAGGTAACAGTTTGTTTCACTTGTTTACAACTGAATCATAACGGAGAATGTGCTCTTTCAAAGTTACCACTCTTGCTTCAGGTGTCGGAGAAGAGTCTGATGTGCGAGCGTTCCTTCCTGTCTGACCGCTGTAACCACAGCGGCGGCATTACAGTGTCCAAAAAGAAGTCAGACATCCATTTCCCAGATTTAAGAACCTCAGTGCTGCCAGGGCTCCGAGGAAGAGAAGGTACGTACACAACACTACCTACAAACTTCACCATAGTACCTACAATTTAGCTAATCTTAAATATAACGTCAAATCAGTAAGAAATGTTTTAGCACTTCTCTCAGGTCAATCAGCAAATTTTGAGAAAGGATATTAACTTACACACAAAAAGCAACCAAATAACAAAACATTTCACTGTTTGTTAGCTATGAATCAATGACACGGTTTTCTCACATTTTTATGAGTGCCTCATCAGTTGCATATAATATATATTATGAGCCAGAAAAATATCCTCACTCAATGTCTTCACATTAAAATGTCTATTTTATCCCACTATCTGAGCATCAAACTAGACTTTCCTCCAATCTAAAATATGTATAAAAGTAGTGATTGTTATCCAATACATGAACTAAATACAATTATTAAAATCATGAAGAATTAAATAAATATGCAATGTGTTTCAGGTTAAGAACTCAAACTAAAGTGCATTTTGTGGTGTAAAACATGTAAAAGAGTGTTGTTGTTTCTGGGTCTCACTACACACAAAATATTTATTAATACTTTATTCATACTACATAAAGTGATACCTCCTTCGATGTTTTCTCAGGTAAACACACCAAAAGCACTTCCAATGATCAGAGGAAAGAGAAACAGCTGGTTCCCTCCATTCCTCCATCAGAACCACAGCATCACGGACACAACAGTACTGATTCACACTCAACATAAAAGCTTTCAGATATTCACCTCTTTACTTCAATGTGACTGCGAAAAAAAGTGAATGTGTTGGTAGAATAACTGGTCTTGTGTTGAAGTCAGAGTCGTGTTTGATTATCACTCATTTCCTTTTAGCATTAGCAGTGGCTACATGTTGGTAATATAAAGAACCAAGCGTTCCATTTATACTTATTTGTCAAATAGTAAACAAAATAATGATGTAAATACAAGAATAAAAGGTTGGCCTATGAGCATCTTTAGTCAGAAAAGAGACAGATAATGTATGAACATTTTATTAATGACAGTTAATCAAAGGTTGTTTTATTATGTTACACCATTTTTAAAGCAGCAAACAGGTTGTTCACATGTGAATACATTTTAAATAAATTACTAAACAGCACTTACAGCAATTGTTTTATGTGTGTATTATATAAATAAATAAGGTTTTTAAAAAGTAAGACTGGCTGTGTTGGTTTGTAGCAGCAGCAACCGCTGTACACTTACATAGACTTACATACAGACAGCTGAATATACAAAATATTTACTGACATTACCACAGGGATGCCGGTAACTAGTTCACTGGCTACTAAATTCCATGGTAATTCAAACAGGAATGCTAATGTGTCAAGAAACTGTAAATAAAACCTTCCATGGCATTAAAGATTAAAATGCCACGGTACAATTTTAAGACTCGTCACTTGAGTCCTCTGAAGAAAACGAAGCTATTTTCCATCTTTTCACCTCCGTCCTGCTCACTCGTTTCTTTTCATCGCTCTCTGATGTACTGTCACTTTTGTGAGGCTGCCCTCCTATTGGCTGAGAGAGAAAAGTGTTAAATCCTGGGAGAGAACCAGCCGCATGTTGTCTGCTGTTGGCCAGGAGGTAGTGGAGGAGGTCGTGGATAGACTTTCTGTCAGGGACTGGTGCTGCTGGAGCTGGCTGTGGTTTCTTTGGAGGCAAAGGTACGGCTGGCTTTTTGGTTGTGGTCACCACCTTTTTTTGTGGGGAAACGTCAACATTTTACACACAATGAAGGGAAAAAGTTAAATCATTTAAATTAAAATATAAAGAAGTCAAATCAAATAGACAAACAAATAATAGTTAAGAAATACAGTTACAGTACATAAAGACCAGCACAGAAAAATAATCAATTAAAAATGTCACCTTGTTGGTTGTTGGTCTTGTTAAGAATCTTAACAAATATTTGACAGACATTTATGGTTCACGTTTTTGTAAATTACAAAAATCACACACTGAACACATAACTAGAATTGTGGATTGTGGCTTTTTAATTAGCTGCTTGTTAGCCTTAAAAACCCTTGAGTGTTGGTAACTTTGGAGGATTTAATAGGTTCTAACTAAAATCTGAAAAACGTAGAATTTCTCTGTGAAGATGCTTTAATGTAAGACAACAAACATGTGAAAACTACATATTTTCCGACAATCTCCTATTGTACAGAAAACTGCTCATGGTGTAATTACCTTCCTGGTGATGGGTGTTGTTGTTGTTGTTGTTGTTGTGGTTGTGGTGATTTCAGATGGTGGGTCAGTGAAAATCCTGCAGGTGTCCACAGCAGAACCATCAACCTCTGGAAGATCAAAATCCGGCAGAAAGGGGAAGGACTGAGCTGATGAAGAGATGTTAGAGGTCGTTAATTTTATTTTTTGACTTTCTAAGACATTTAACAGGTCTAATAGTGCAACATAATTATTTTGCATTTGTTTTTACAGTTGACATGTGGATCCCAACCATGGGGTTGTTAAAGTTTCACGGGATGTTGCAAGGACTTGATTTTAAAGGGTGTAAGAAAAAGTTTTATTATGCTCAGCATTTTATTCATTTCTGTTAAAAAAAATGAAATTAATGTTTTTAAAGCTCAGATTATCAGTATAGCCTTCACTGTCTGATAAACAACTACACAGCTAATAGTACAATGATAAAAATTCACAGAATCTGCCAAAAACAAGTCTATTAAGTCTGTATGATTGTTAAAAATTATAATACAGACAGAGAATTGAATAAAAACATCAGGAAAACTAAACCCTAATCAATATTAACAGCAAATATTCTTCAAAATCAAAATTCATCCAAATCGCTGGTTTTACACAAACTTTTCAAATTAAATATCCATAAAAAAAAACAGTTTACTCAATTCTGACCACTGATACAGACTATGCAAGTAAAGGAACAGAACAATAATTAATATATTTATTGATAATAAATCCATAATAAGACCACATTTGCTTTTTTAAAAACGTTGTATCTGGATAAGTTTAGCTCTTCCACAGCGAACAGTCTGCACCTGTAAGGTCAACAGGTGCTTTATGTGCGTGTCTGGTGTACATTAAGGCGTCTGTGCTGCTATCTGATCTGTCAGTCGTTGTTGCATATTTCATGATGACAGCTTTAAGGTGTGTTTTTTCTTCTTGTCTTTTGTCGGCAGTAAAGCTGCCGTGAAGACTAAATCTGATAAGAAATAATCACCAATTAGGTCCAATTATGGCAACTAGATTTGTTTTTATCTTTAACTTTTTGAAATACAAAAACAGGCGTATTCGTACTCACCGTGAGTGAAGTCAATGCTCTGAAATCTGAGGAGGAAGAGGAGGAAAAAGACTGTCAGCCTGCAGGACATGGCTATAAATGAAGAGAAACAGCTAATTCATAAAGAAATATTCGGGGAAATTTGAGAAGATTGAGGGAAGAAGAAAGTGAAAATGGAAAGCAGGAATAAGAAAAATGAGTGTTGAAAGGACAGACTGCAGACTGACTGAAGAAGAGCTGAGATGAGGAAGCTTGATGGAGGGTAGAAATAAGGGAGGTGAAGAGGAGGAGGGAGGAGAAATGAAGGGAAAAGATGGATAATGTCTAGACTGAAAAGTTTTGTCTGAGCAGATCTGACACGGTTTGTGGTTCTGAGTTGCAACAGAGTTAATCCTCGCTGCTTTTTTTAAACTTTATTTATTCAAGGAAGGTTTACGGAAACGCCTGGCTTTACAGTAACACGTGTTTAATACTGTCTTCACTTATTTACTGTTTTCCTTTCCTGTAAATTACTTTCAAGTTTATCATAATTAGGAATTTTTGAAACATCATCATGACTTCAGACAGAGGTAGATTAAAGCAATCCAAACCAAAATTACAAATATCCTGATTTTATCTATTCTATCTTTATCTATTAGCTCTATCAGTTGGTTTTTTAAAATGCGATCTCCAGTGGGCATTTTAATATTTTAGAAAACGTTCTCTTAAATGTGCACTTGATGTCCACATACATGATATTGTGCCTAGAGACAAAGAGTTCTATCTATACAGAAGACTCATTTTTTTTTCTTATATTGCAATTTATAACTAGTTCGTTCGTAATAATTAGGGAAATGTAAGATCCGACTGTTATTTCCTTCTTACATTAAGACTGTTTGGCTGCAGTTATGTGTGATTTAAACGTACATTTCTGTACTTAATTTTACAAGAAGGCTAACCGATAAGTTTGCGAAAACGTAGTGCTTTCACCAGTAATGTTGAAAAGGTTAATGAAGTTTAGGCTAACATTAGCTGTGCTGGGCTTTTTTTAAAACGTTACCTGCAATGCCCCAAAAAATAGAGTTAACTAATGAAGTAATTATGGTCGGAAGCTTGTGTAGATTATAGATAAGCTTTAGCCAAACATGCAATAATTTTCAGTATATTGAGCAGATAAACACATTGTTTAATACATTCCTTACATGTTTGCTTGTGTTTCTGGTTTTGGAAACACAAAGAAATACCAAACTAAAATATTCTGAGCATTGCTGTTACAGCATCAACATGTGAAGAAATTATTTTTTCAAATTATTCACATCCAGTAGGTAGTAGGTAGTTTTATAATGTAAACTGGGAAGATTTTAAAAAAAATAACACAATAAATCAGTTTTCAAAGCCATTAGCATTTGCCAACCAACCGAATAATGTCGGCTATCATTTGATTGGCTGTTGCTGTCGGGGTTAGGGTTAGTTCAGCAAATTATAATTTATCAGTAAAAACAACAAAGCAGCACAACATCAAACTAACTTTTTGTTTAGTTTCAAATTTGTTTAGCTACCAAATTATTTTACCAGATGTCTTTCCAAAGTGATGTTTTAACACCAGCATTACCACCAATAATGTTTGCTTTCATTGGAAAAACAATATCTAATTAAAGATTTTGTATGTTATCAATGATATCAATGTTTTTACTGTAGCTTTTACTAAATGAACAGAAGTCAGTCAAATGTTTTCCTTTCTGTTTTGAGTTGAGATAAATACACTTTGTTGACACAAAGAGACTTCACTTCTTCCACCTGGAGTTTCCCTGACAGTTTCTTTTTTAAATCCCTTTTAGTCTTATACTAAACCTCTCAACAGCTTGAGTAATTGTTTCCATCAGAGATCAGTGGAGCATTAAACCTCTAATCTTAATTTGATCTACTGTATATGATGATGCACCATGAGGTTACGGCTCGTCTGGGATCTAGTCTGGAATTCAGTTACCTGCAAACATGATGATATTTATGTTTGAAGGGAGGTCCAAGTACAACAAACCTTTTCCCCTTTCTTCAACTTTAAAATATGCACCATTTTATTCTGTCTGTTACTTTGGCCTTCATGCAACGATTGGTGACAGATTTTCGTGAAAAGCTCCATCGTTTGGTTGATTTTGTAGAGATAAACCTGTTTTAATTAATTATCTCAGCTGTTGGGTCGATGCCCAGTTTATGGAAACAGTTACTCATTCAGATTTCCCGTGATACACACCTACAAACACAACCCTCCAGCCATTACTAGCGTTACTCAACTGGAACCTGAGATTTCCAAACATCATGCCGGGACTGTTATAACCACGGTTGCCATGGAAGCGGGTGTCTGCTTACATACACACACCTACTTTACAGTCAACCGTAGCACTGTAATCTCGTGTGTGTATGTGTTCATGATCCTCTCCCATTATCTTGTCATATCCAAACAAAAGGCACATTGTTCTTTTAGCTAGCAGCTCTATTGCATTGGATGACAACCACTTTGGTCCAGACTGAAATATCTCAACATATGCTGGATGGATTGGCGTGAAATTTGGCAGAGCCATTTGTGTCGCCCAGGTGATGAATCCTATTGACTTTGGTGATTACTTCACGTTTACTTTGGCGCCACCGTGAATTTTAAATTCAGGATTTCCAGTGAAATATCTTAACAATTATTAGATGGATTACTGTGAAATTTGATTCAGACATTCATTTTGCCTCAGGATCAATTGTAATAACTTTAGTTATCCTTTAACTTTTCCTCTAGCGCCACCATCCAGTCAGAATTTGTCCAATACTTAGTTGGTGAAGCTGGGGGGTTTTGCATCTGCGAAAGTTCTATTACTGTGAAAATATCGACATCTATAGGTCCGCCTTGACATTCTCATGTCACCCATAGTAACATCACGAAAGAAAAGAAAGAAAGAAAGATCACACGTTCTCGATTTGACGTGCATCTCTCAGGTGGCTGTGGTGCAGAGGCAGAGCAGGTCGTCCCCTAATAGGAAGGTTGTTGGTTCGATCCCTGGCTGCCACATGTCGAAGTATCTTTGAGCAAGATTCTGAACCCCAAATTGCTCCAGATGCTGTGCATCGGTGTGTGAATGTGTTAGTTTCTGTCCGATCGCTGTGTGAATGTGTGTGAAAAGACATGTAGTGTAAAAGTGTCGGAAGACTAGAAAGAAACTTGCTATACAAGTACAGGTCCATTTACCATTTACCATCTATGCGGCCATCATATTGCAGAAGTCACATGTGCATCTACGTGAAGGTCAGATCTACTCGTTAACAATATAGTTTAAGATTAAGACAAACAAAATCAACTGTAACTTGCTTAATTCTGAAATTTGGTTTGTTATAAATGTGAGAAACTGAACATGGTCTTGGTTACATGCAGGAATTAATTCATTTACTGGGGACGAAACTAATGAGCTCTACATCATATTTCATGAAAATATGATTAAATTAAACTCATAGAATTAAGCAAGTTACAGATGATTTTGTAGTTAAGTCTGTATCTCGTATCGCAATATGGCGACTGCGCAGACGTATAGTGGCGAATCCTGGAGACCTGGACAACCATCTATGTTTTCCCCAAACAGATTTTTAGGCATTTTATTATTTCAACTGGCTTGAACAATAATTTATATAGCTTCTGTAAATTGGGAGCATG